TTAATTTTAATAAACATGTTCAAAATTGCATAATGAAAATGAAAATATATCTTTCGAAAATGTTCAAGACAAAATTAATTTGGCCTCTACATCAAAGAGAGTGCAAAGAGAGAGAAATATTGAAGAAGAAAAATTAATCCAAACAACCAAAAGAAGATACATAAAGAAACTTAACAAGAAGAAGGCTCAAGTGAAGAAATATCGAAAAATTATAAAACTGCATCGTCAGAACAACTGGGAAAATGTTACTGAAGATGTTAACAGCACGCAACGGATATTTTTGGAAATAATACAGAGAAATCGCAAGTATAAATCACAGGTTTGTTTTTAATATTTTGTTGGTACTATAAGATTAAAGATTATAAGATTATTACAAGATTAATTTAAATCGTTTTAGAGCACATATGGCTGCGCGAATCTATCATTTTAAATATGTCATAGTTAAAGAATATTGCTATTTTTACACACTTCATATACTGAAATAATATTATTGCATTCCAACAATATTATATCTTCATACTAATATATATTTTATTAAAGACAAGATATTAATATATGCTTTATTAAAATGCTTAAATTGTAAATGCTTTAATGCTTCACTAATGTTAACGTATGTATGCTTTACTAATCCTTATATATTTTGCATGCACAACATTAATGGTACTGTAGAAATTTATTAGATAGTAATAAATATAAGTAGTATATAGCAGGTATGGGGCGTCACAACAAACCCCCACCACCTACCCCATATTTGACCCACTGACCTACATTTGGTCTGGCGTTAAAACAAATGACGTCACAGGGAGGGGAGGGGGAAAAGATGGCGGCAGTGGGTCCAACATGGCGGACGTCTACAAGATGGCGGCTGTTGACAAAATGGCGGCTGTTGACAAGTGATTTTTATTTTTTGGAATTGAGAAAATCCAAGCTGGGTTCGAACCTGGATCGCTGGATTTCTAGTCCTGGTCCTAGTCTGCTGGGCTACCTATACATCTAATGATAGTAAAATGGTGTGTCGTATTTATGGCTATGGGACCTGGCAGGGAAGGGATGTATATATGCTGGGACCGCGTCTATATGATGTACCCCGGACTCTCTGGCAGGTATGGAACATGTAAACAAACGACGTCACACAGTCGCCTCTAGTCTGCGAAGGGAAGGGATGTATATATGTTGG